AAGTTCCTAATGAACAAAGATATTGGTTTATTTTTAAGAGTTGTAGGGTAGGGAGGGGGAATAGCGCTCACTGTGTAATGGCGCTCACCTCTATATCTCTGTCAAAATGAAACGTAGCAACACGCCACGTCGCGTGAAGCGCGGGGGGAGGGGGCCTCTAACAGACAGCGATACAAACGGACAATCAGCTCGCGTAATACGACCGTGAAGTGCGTTTCTTCGTTTACGGCCGTGCTGATCTAATTTTTGGTTAGGTATTTTTTGTCGGTAAGTCCAAAACTTTAATGCTTATTTAATTATTAATTTTACTTTTCTGACAATAAAACTATTCTATTTTGTGATAATGCAATCAATTTTCAACAATTGTGTAGGATTTTTTTTAAATTTCAAATTAATTACAAAACGACCGTTTGGGGTTATACCGCTCATCTGAGCGCCATTACCCCTTAGTGACCTATTTTTTTTATTGTTTTAGATATGCCAAGAAATCGTCAAAGGACCACCGCTAAAGCGGCTTGGACAGAAGAAAACCTTCAATCTGCTAAAACTGCGATTGAAGGAGGTTTGTCCAAAAGAAAAGCCGCAAAACAATATAACATACCATTTACTACTTTGAGAGATCGACTAAAAAATGAAAACATGAGCAACCCAAGACTAGGACGCAAGCCTGTTTTCACCCAACAGCAAGAATCTGAAATTGCTGAACAAGTTAAGATGCTGGGTTCGCTATACTATGGACTCAATGTCGCAGATTTGCGTAAACTTGTTTATAAATATGCTGAGCTCAACAATATTAAAAACAATTTTGATCAAAGCAGCAAAACAGCTGGATTGGATTGGGTACACGCCTTTATGAGACGCAATCCTGCAGTTTCTATACGCAAAGCTGAAGCGACAAGCTTAAATAGAATTTCTGCCTTCAACAAAGAAGAAGTAACACATTTCTATGATAAGCTTGGGGACTTAATGGAAAAACATAAGTTTATTCCAAACAACATTTACAATGCTGACGAAACTGGTATCACCACGGTGACAGACCCAGGAAAAGTGCTCGCCGAAAAAGGACAAAGAAGAGTCGGATCTGTTACAAGCGGCGAACGAGGAAGCAACATATAAGTTATGTGTGCGATGAGTGCAGCCGGAAACTTTATACCGCCTATGTTTATTTTTGCCAGACAGAGAATGACGCCTTTATTAGAAAAAGATGGACCAGCTGGTGCATTATACACCAACTCTAAAAATGGCTGGATAAACGAAGATTTATTTGTCACTTGGCTCAAATATTTCGCAGCATTTGCTAAGCCTACCCATGAATCACCCGTGTTGTTAATTCTGGACAATCACAGCAGTCACATTTCCCTTCAAGCTTTTAATTTTTGCAAAGAAAACCACATCACAATGCTTTCCATTCCACCACACAGTTCTCACAGAACACAGCCGCTGGATGTGTCTTTTTATGGGCCGCTGAAAGCCACTTATAGGCATGAATGCAACAGGTACATGAAGACACATTTAATGTCTAAAATAACTTCTTACGATGTTGTAGGTCTTTTCAATAAAGCATATGTACAAGTTGCGAATATAAGTAAAGCAGAATCTGGATTTCGAGCCACGGGAATTTACCCATTGGACCCAAATGTTTTCACTGATCAAAATTTTCTGGCAGCGTCGCTGATGGCACAAGAATCGGTACAAATCGCTGAAAATCAAGACCCAAATGTCAAGAATTTTGAAAATGCGCTGTCTAATGGTATGGCCATAACTTCAGGACATATATCTCCTTTGGCAGGACCATCAAATAAGGATCAATGCTCTGAATCTGTTTTGGCAGTTGCTTGTAACCAAGAACTTGTTGATGAGCAAAGAACTCTGATATCTTTTGCTGCTATAGCTACGACACCAACTATTGCACCATCTTCTAAGCCAGGTCAAAGAAAGCGAAAACAACATGCTACCATATTAACTGCGACTCCTATGAAAATTATTTTAGAGGATAAAGAAAAGAAAAAAATAGCGAAACTCAATAAGACTGGAAAAGATGATAAATCAAGACTAAAACAAGTTGTTAAAGAAAAGAAGAACAAACATATGAAACAAAAAATCTTACAAGAGAAAAATTTTACAAGAAAGTTCTTCAGAGAGTGAAGATGAAGAGCACCTTTGTGACGATGACAGAAATGACGAAATTAATGTGGATGATGAAAATTATAACAAATGTATTTTTTGCGAAGAATTTGGAAAAAATAACGAGTTGTGGTATCGCTGCACTATCTGCGGACTGTGGGCTCATGCTATATGTTCAGCGTGGGATTCGCCAGATGGATACATCTGTGATTTATGTGTCCAAAAATAAAATATTTCTATTTCTAATTTGTCTTACCTCTAATAATAATTATTATTTTATATTACATTATAATAATTGAAGTTGATTTGACATCTAAGACTTTACTATATTTGTTAAATTGAAAAAGGCTAATCTTACGTACAAATGGGGATGATTGATGCTAATTTGTGATTGTAGACTACACTTTTATTGTATAAGGTTGATCTCATTAATATTTCTTTAATTAAAATGTATCTCACATGTTGTATTCCAAAAAATATGTTTGAGCGTCATTACCCCGTACCCTGAGCGGCATTACCCAAAGTCTGGGGCAATGCCGCTCAAACATGTTTTTTTACTAATGTTTTCCTACTACTAGCAGGTGAAAGATTTTTGTTGTTAAATTGTTGATTACTCAATAATTAAAGACTTTGTTACTTTTCTTCATTTTGATTTGTAATAAATAATTTAAAAAATACACCATGTTTTCCTTAAGTGAACGCCATTCCCCCTCCCTACCCTATGTTATTGATTTATAAAGACAGAAAAATGTTTAAAGATAGGTACTAATTATAAGTATTGATTTTGATTTAATGTAACGTTACTCCTAAAGGATTATGTTAGCATAATTATAACGACCATTATCGTTTGTTTCAATTCAAACATTGCCATTAATAAAAAAAAAAACTCCTATTTCTTTGGGCTTTTTTTCTCCCCCATTGACGCTTTTTCCATTTTGGTATCCCATAATTAGTAATTTATTAAAAAAAATAATAGACCTAAATCGGAAAACGTAAAATAATTACATAAAGTTATAAAAACAAAAAAGGCGTAAGTCTTAAACTGTCACTTATAAGAAATTATTTTCGGCCGATAAAAGACGCATCTCCTAAATCGTCAAACTTGAAACTTTTTTCTCGGTCCAAAAATGACGGATAAAACAAAATACTTTTTTTTCTATACTATTCCTTTTAATAATTACGTTTGTTCATGACACAATAATAGTTAATTAATTTTGTTGTTTTCCAGGGGGTGTTTGAAAATTTTTTTTTTGCTTGCTTTTTTCAAATTGCCTGTTAAACTAAGACTAAGCATTTCATGTCGATGCATGTTTCTTATATTAAGTGCACGATAAACGTACTATTTAATGCAACACAACATGTAGCGACATGTCGCGTTGAACTATATCAGGCCAGTTCATTATGGGACCGCCTGGTATGTCATCAGCAGCGCATTTTTTAAGGAGAGACGTATGAAATAAAACATCTTAATCCGAAATTGTGGAGTCAGAACTAGAGCATGGACGAATAGGTTTATGTAATCCAGAACAACTTGGAACTCCCAAATCTATTTTGTAAGTGTCCTCATTGTTTAGAAGTGGTTCGTTATTGGCACTTACCAATTCTTGAATTAAAGAAGGTGAAGTACAGTGTTCTTCCACCCGTGTTGCTGGCCTATGTGGATGTTCTACCATTTCTAAGTCAGAAACATCGGGTGATGAGCTATAGTCAACGAGACGGCATTTAACTATTGAAGAGTTTTCAGATGTTGAAGGTACGATTGGTACCAAATCGGTTTTGGTCGGTTTGTTAAGATCAGGGTATTCGTCTATCTACAATACATCAGATGTAGAGTCCTGCAGGGGCTAATCACATATCGGTAGATCGTCATCAGTATCATCGTTTAATGTGACGTCAGATATAGGACTTTGTATGGGCTCCACGCTAGTTTGTGGGCATGCAATTTTAGACAAAACTGAAGGGGCATATGCTTCCTCCGGTATAGCTTCAGGATACAATGTTGCTGAGCGTCATACATTTGGACCAGACCTGACTAAATATCCTATTAAATGTGGCTTTTGAAATTGTTCTGTCGGGGTGTGTATAAGAAGTTCAGAACTGCTTCATCCCAGTGGTGTTCATATGACTTATTGACTGATTTATCTAAGGGCTGAAGCTCGTGCGTTATGTTGGAAGGGAGGCAATAAAAAATTATGTAATTTTTATCAGCTTCATCTAAAACTTCTAGTGACAAGTGACATTTGGCACCATCAAATATAAATAAGCATTTTCCAGCAACCTTGTATTTCGCTAGGTGCTTAATAAACTCCACAAAAAAATCAGCAGTCATACTGCCTTTCGGTGCCATCCTGACTAACGTCTCTGCTGGTAAGTTATCACATAAATCAGGTCTTTGTCTTTTACCTTTAAAGTGGATCATAGGTGGTATCGCAGTCAGGGGCAATGAGATGAACTCTTTTGCTTCCTTTCTCTGCTATGACTGTATTCTGCTTGTGTACAGTTATCCGGCATCCTTTTTCATCCATATTGTACAATTTTTCTGGATGTTGTAGGATATCCATCTCATTGTACAATTTTTGCACACTCTGAAAATGTTGCTGAACAATTGATTTGTTTAATTTTTGTGCATGAGCTGGATTCATTATTTGCGGCTTTCGTTTGCTGATTGAGAGATTCCGCTTTAAAAAGTATCTCAACCAATCAGTGCCAGCAATTCTTTTGGAATTATTGAAATTATTTTTTATTTCGTATGTTTCACAAAACATATATGCTTGTTTTCTTATAAATTTTGGCGCGAGGGGTACACCAATTTTAGCGAATCTTTTTATTCGTTCAACGAGGTCATTTTCTTGATGTTCTGTAAAAACTGGTTTTCTTCACAAAAGCTTAACGATTGTGCCCGTCTTTAAATGATCCCTCAATATTCTTTGCTGAATATTATGCCTGCAAGCTGCAGCACGCCGAGACAATTGGCCTCTTTCAACAGCATTCATTGCTGCTTTCAAGCCTTCTTCAGTCCACAATTGTCCTCTTTTTTCACCCCTGGACCTGGTCGGAGCCATTTTACTAACCTTCGTAGGTAATAATTAACATAAATAATAAAAGTTTTCACAAATTATAGACTTTAGTAATTAACAAGTTTTATTTTCGATTTAGCTTGGCTACGTACAGCTTAAGTTCTTTAGACATGATCAAGAAAAATTTTATATTGAAATAACATAATAAATACATTAGGCCTATAACGCCCATTTGTCAGTTAACAACTCATATAGGCTAATACCGCCCAACTATTAGTAACGTTTATAGCATTGTTAATATTCTTTTAAAAAAAAAACGTTTTTTACTGGGCGTTGTTACCCGAAAGGGAATTGTTATTCAATCCACGTATTTTAATGCAATATTACAGAAATAAACTAAAAATATAAACTTATTTTTGTTCCAACTACCATCAAAATAGGCAAATTATAAACACTGCTATTGTTCTAGAATGATGTGTTCTCCTAAATTGGTAGTACATAGTAATTTATAGATGTAAAGCATGTGTTAGAAGTAATTTAATATGTAGAACTGTTGGAGATTCATACAAATAAATAAATATCATAGCATAGTCTAGGAAAGTTAGTAAACTAGTAAATACTACGAGAAATATTACGAAACATACGGTAAAACAAATAAAAACTTACAATTTGCTGAAGCAATTTTTATAATAACGGTATTCACAACTGACGTTCGAGATGCGAAGCGCGTCACTGCCAAGATGGCGGCGCGAGAGCATTGTCGCCGTACTCGTGCATTCGTATGGGTACATTTTACGTTTGTGTGAGGTGTAACACAAATCATAATAAATTAATAACGTTTTTATAAGATAAGGCGTTATTAAACCACGGGCGTCAATTGCCATACCTACCTTAGTATAATTTTTATTCAATATAGATTATTACATAAAACTTATTGAATATCATGTTTTATTTACAACTGGTTCATGTCTTTTTAAAACCAGGTTCTACTCTTTTTAAAACATATTTCACTTTACAATAATTTTGTTTGTATTTTATAATAAACTTTAATAGAACAAGCATGGTGGCGATCACCTCATTCCCAAAGGTTATTTTTATTGATGTATTCTTTGATATTATAAAACACTTTTTGTACATTTTTCCTTTTCAATGGAGTCTAGTAACTGGTATTAAAAGCTATGTTTATTCCTAGTGTTTAAAGTATGAACATCTTTATTCTTATTATATATTATGAAAGCTACTTATGTTTTTATGTACCTACATACATTACATTTTCATAATTATAATGCGGGTTATTTTATTAAATTTTTCTCTTTGGGACTCTTTACAATTTAAGATATTAATTGTCCATACGACGGCTCTATTTTACAAAACAAATATGGCTTCAATGTTAGTCGCATGAGCCCAATAGTAACAGTGGTATCCACAAGACTAAACTCCTTCCCATTTAAGAGCACATTGGTATTTGGATCCTTTCCAAAGTTTTGCTCCTCTTCCAAAATTTAATGAATTAGTATCAATTAATTGTTAATAGTGGTTCATCTTTACTTGAATATAAAAAGATACATTTTGGAGCAGCATTATTAATCTTTAAAATATGTACTTGATAACGTTATCATATTTTAGTAACATAACTATTTTTTTAAATGTGTGTAACAACTATACCTTTTAAAAATACAAATAATTTACAAAAGTGACTTCTTATGCCCACTTTACCATTGTTTACATGTGTAATCAATATACTATTTTTTTTTTACAAAATGAACATTTTATATATTATAACATAACATACGCATTAATAATACAACTTTAAAAAGAATATTTGAAATTATAATCAATCCAATAAATTGTGGAAAAGACTACATAAAGCAACAAAAATAATACCAAGAAAAAAATTGAATAAAACTCTGATATCTTTGACTTTGCACACCCACACATTTCTGAATATGCAGTTAGTACAGAATAATATGAATGTCATGGAAGATAATACAATTTTGAAGACAAATTGTTTAGCACTTTCAATATGTAAGTCTTAAAAGATATAGATTCTTAAGGAAATTGTTCACTTTGTTCTCAAGATGGACATTAAAAATGTCCTTAAATAAATACTAATTGAACCAAGTATAAACCCAATTATATTTAAGCAAATGAAAGAACTAAGCTTGAGTATGGCAGATTTCTTGTGTTTCTTAATGCTTCATGAAATGCTAGTGTTTCTCCACACTACATTACAATGCAACTGTCATAGGTTTTGAAGACTGAGGATGTTAAGAGTGAAAATATGACCATGAATATGTTTTGGTTTGATGATAAAGGAGATAAAGGTCATAATAAGCTATCAATTTGTTATAGATTTTGCAAAAATGCTACTCTGGCAGTAATTAAAAAATATATATAATAAAAGATTTATAACAAACATGATTAAATGGTGTCTATGATCAATTTACAACTAACACCAAGGTAAGCAATAATTAAGTTAATAAAACAAAGGCAGAAATAATGCTTTTGAAATTTAAAATAAGAAACAATTCTCTTTATTTGATCCTACACTTATGGAAAGGGAAATTTTATTTCAAAAGAATTAAGATTTACAGGCATGACATAGTAGACTGCTAAATGGGAGCATAAATAATAATTACAGTTAGATATTGATGCGGGAGAAAATGAACTACTTAATGAACATGTAAACTGACAGATACCTCAGTGTAACCTGATAAAATACCTAAATAAAGCACGAATTTTAACCAACGTGTATCAGATGGTCTAAGATTTTGTGCAAGTAAGTCTTTACAATTGAAACATATTAATAAATAATGTTAAATAAATATTTATGTGTTTTGATTGATGACTTTGCTTTGATTTTATTTTCAAAACATTATTAATTACCCCAAGAGAGCAAAGATAGTGCAGATATTACTGACTGACTGAAGTTAGTCACTTTTGTTTGGTTTTGTTTAATTCCTTTAATCAAAGATTTTATAAAAAGTGTCTAAAACATAATTCAGAACATATATCCCGCGAAACAAAGTTTTACTTATTACAATGAGATTTAAGGAAGTTAAAAAAGATATGGAAGTGTATGTTGTAATTGTAAGCAGTTTTCATCAATAAAAATTGGACAATATCTTATGTTAATACGACAAAAGATTTGTTTCAATATCTAAATGATAACAACACATTATGTTATTTAATGCGTTAATTTAATTAAGACGCTGCTGAATACTTTCTCCTTAGTGAAAAACCACAGAGCAGAAAACACGAATCCTACTTGCCAACGATTTAAATTATATACAAAACACCATTGTTCAACAAATTAAATTATTCCTTGGTGGCAAATTGTTAGCAAGATGCTAATAATATATTATAAAATCTGGATTATTTACTGGTAAAAATGCCCTCTACTCCAAAGGAAGAGGTAGTAAATAGAAAAGATTTTACTGCTCACATTTTGGCAATTAGCAAATTCTCAGAAACTAAAAACAAAAATATTTTTATTTCAAAAGTTATAAAATGATGAAATTTAGGTATGTAAATAATGTAATAATTGTAATAATGACCTTTGTAAGACAAACCACCACCAAGCAAATACATCAAATTTGTAATGTTTCAAGAAAAACGCTTTTGCGACTTTCCCAAACTTTTCATAATGAGTTGCAAGATAATAACAAAAATAATTAAAAACATTTGACCAATGATTCCCCCAAAATGGGATATTTCAAATCATTAAATTGTTAATAAATATCAAATTTGAATTTTTAACATGACAAACATGAAAGTAAGGACCCTTATAATTAATTTATTGATCAAAATAATTGTAAAAAGAGCTGGTGCAATAATTATAAATAAAATATTAAAAGGCAGAAATATTAAAACCAATAATGATAAAAAAAACTTCAGACATTAAAATATTTTTAAGCTCTTAGAAATAAAACTAAATAATGTTGCATGGAGTGATTTAAAAAATATGTACTAAATATCTAATCTTAATATTATAAAGAGAAAAATTTGTTTGTTTGTTTGAACTGAATAGGCTCCGAAACTACTGGACCGATTTGAAAAAATTTTTCACTATTGGAATCCTACATTACCCCTGATGAACATAGGCGATAGAATATTTTCTAAAAGTTAGGAATCCGCATGAAAACTTCGTTAATTTAACCCACGGTGTAAAAAATCCTTATATCAGATACGCTGCGGTAACTATTAAAAATAGAGCAGTGATGTACTACTACAGTTTTATAGAGGACATCAATATCTACAAAAAAGTCGGAATATAATATATCTATTACAGTTATGTCACCATAACTACTTTTTCATGTTAAAATACATTAATTAAAGATAAAAAATGTTCATATTTTGTGGCAGAATGCACAAAAACTATAAATGATATCGCTTTCGTATGTATAAAAGGTTGATACAATATTCATCAATGATAGTTTCGTAACTCCACACTTTTTCGTTTACATTTTTCTTTAATGTTGGAAAAAACCGCGTTTTGGAGCACTTTCTGGGGGGGGGGAGTGCTCATCCGGGAGGGGAGGGGATAAATGCTGTATAACATACATATGCCGATAGATAAAAGTACTCCATTAATTTTGCCAATTTTTTAGCTAAAATGATTGTGTAAATGATCGAGGCATGATATGATATGTCGTGCGGCGCACTCGCGTGATATACGCGGGTAACGGGTAACCGCGGGGTACAGCTATATGAAATATTTTTAAAACAAAAAACAATTTTTAAAAGTTTTGTCTGCTTGTTCCGGCTAATCTCCGAAATGGCTGAACCAACTTTAGTCAGGATTTTCACTAGCAGAAAGCTGTTTATACGGAGAAACTTAGGTAACTTTTATGTTGGAAGAATTAGGGTCTTGCGCAAAAAATTCAAACGTAATAAATTTCACGTGAACGAAGTCGCGGGGAACAGTTATAGTAGTCATATCTTCGAGACAAATTATGTACCTTGATCAATTATTAGAAAGTATTCTAAGATTTGTACTATTGAAAGAAAATATTTTATAAAATTGTGCTGTGTATTTTGTAGTATCAAAAGTAATAAGTTTAAAAATTGTTTTAATAACCCGAACCCTTAATAATCAAGGCCAAATTCTTCTTTTAAAATAGAAATGGTTATGATTAGGTTTTTTCCATAATATCAAAATTAAGGTGTTATCAAACAGCATATGTGATTAGCTATTTACTTAAGCATCTCAATTAGTAAGTTTAGAAAGTTAAAAGTACATCATAATGTGATGTAGAGATAAATAACATCTATTTAGATCTATATCTATGAGTCAGATAGTATTTTTGAGCTTGAATTTTTACTTTGTCATTTTCTTCAATTTTTACATGTTTACCCTGCAATATTTTATTGACATTCGTGCACCAGCTGTGAATAATTAAGCTGATTATATAATTAATTATAAAGGTTTTTAAGTTTTCTTTGTGTTTTTTACATGACAAAAATTCGAATTCCACAATAAGATTTATTAATAATTTAATTCTATCACATATACCACTGTAGCGGCCGTTTTGTAAAGCATTTTTTATTATTTTAATCACATTTTCAACACACTCTAAAAAGTTTTGGGAGGGTCTCGTAAGTGATCTTCGCGTGACATCTACAGATAAAATGTTATCATCTACTTGTGGCGGATTCGTATCACACAATTCATTGTTACATGTAATACATGATTTGCAAACTTTAATTTTTGACTTTTTAATAACTTGCTCTGCCACATACCTTTTTGTCTCCATGACAATTTTATTTGAAACTTCTTGCGAATCGTTACCTGCCAAGTTTTGAACTATAAAATCTATACTATTTCTATTTTCCTTTGGGGGCAAAGGTAATTCATTTTTTGCCAGCAGGCAATCTAAATTATTTAAAACTTTATTAAAGTCTTCTTCACAATTTGCCCCCAAGGAATGTGTTGAACTCAAATTATTTACAAGTAATGTTTTATAAATACTTTGAAATTGTAGACACGTAGGATTGTTGTTTCTAGCCCCATTTCTTCTTACCGAGGAGAAAAAGTTTTCCAAGGGATCTTGGTTAAAATTACGCATCAATATACTCTTTACATTGTATTTGTCAAATAAATATTGCAACAAATCTTTTATAGTGTCTATGTTATGTATCCAATTTTGTATTGATGGAACTTGTTCATAACTTACAGATAATGTAGCACTACCTCTTTTTTTTATCTCCGTTTTGAATCTCATTGACCTTAAAACTGGTAGAACTTTATTCCATAGTGCAAAATGATCTGAATTTGGTTTTACACAATTTTTATAGATCTTGTATGTTTTCTTATAGGAACCTCCATTAAAAGAATCAAACAATTGATCAAACAGGAGAAGTATATCCGCCGTATCTTCACATTCTTGTGGCAGTAACTTATTTTCTGCAAAGAAATAAAATGTTATGAGCACTTTTTAAATAATAAGAAGCAATAAAATGTTTGATACAAGAGAGAATACGAGTAGATAAGTGATAAAGAGATATCTTACAATAAATAATTTCAACATTGAATATTATTTGACAAAGTATATATATATATACTTACTTGCACAAAATCGTAAAGCTCCTGATACTTGTTGGCTAAAAACTTGAGCTGCTTGTTTCACTTTCATTTTGGGAATTTTTTCAGGCATAACATGCAATTCTGTAAGCTTATTACACATTCTTAACTCATCTTCTCCTGCATCAATTTCCAACAGTAATTTTAAATGTTGCCATTTTGCTATTTTTACTTGATCATTCTGAATATACCTTAGGTCTTTTGATATTAAATTATCCCTCAATCCTTTTAATAAATGTGGTGGGTCAAATAATGGGAATATATTATGATTTTCAATTTGAAAAGCATTGCTATTATGTTCTTCACCCACTCTCAAATATTCTGCCTTTGTCTCTCTTAATAATTCATTTACTACCTTTGTGTTAATTGTTGATTGGTCACACACAGTTGCAACAACAATTAACCCTGCCTGAAATATTTCCTTTATGATACTCTTTATTAATTTTTTAAGAACTGTTGCATTTGTTGCACTTTTGCAAAAAGCAAAGCAAATAGGTTGCTTATATTGAATTTTTACACCCTTTAACATAAACACTAAAACATGATCAGCAATGTTGTCATTCCGATCATTTTCACCAAAATCTTCAAAGCCGACTATTTGATCTAAAGCTTTATCGTACTGTAGTGATGGTGAAAGCGACATCTCATCAAACATTAACAAACATAAGCGTTCTTCCGTATTTAATTTTTGTGCTGCATCTTTTATTTGATGGAATACTATTGGGTTTAGACCTGGTTTCAAAGTTATTTTTTTAAGGACATCCTGCAATGTCCTCTTTGAGGGCAAGGTAAATAATTTTTTAAGAAAATTATAGCCTTTCGGACTTCTATTATAAATTGACAAAGCTAATAATTTTTCTTCAATATTAAAACACCTTCCACGGCCTCTTTTATTGTGCTGAGTTAATTGCATATTTAGCAACGTCTGAGCAGGCTTTGATAAGGATTTCAGAACCTTTTGAAACAATTTCGTCTTCGCCATTTTCATTGCTGCTTTTACTTGACATTTTTGTTCTTTAATTTTGCTTTTTAAAATCATGATTTTGGTAATTAATTTTTTTATTTTCACATCTGTACGCCTTCTTGTAATCACTGTACCTGAAAAAAGTACGACAGTCAGGTATGCATATAGAGATCAAATGAAACAATGATAGCATAGACCAAATTGTATTGGAATCTCCTTTTTAATGAATGATTTTGAATTGCAACTTCTGCCTTATAATGATATAATATATATTATGCAATATGCTATTAGAATGCTTTTGGAGCTGGCGCAGTGCTGCAGTGTACACAGTGCAATAATGTAGCATTTCCACTGCATGGCTTGCGGCCCAGTGATAACAAAATTTCGAAGTTATATACACAAGAGTTGTAACCGCTTTTTACATTTGAACCATTATTAGTCGTACTTGTTATTATTATCACTCCATTAGTCGCGCGTTCTACTATTGTAGAACAGGCATGCATTTCGTGGGATTTTAACATTAATTGTGGGTGTCTAACGCACAAACTCATAGTATTCCTCTATTACTAGCTGGTGATCACAATTAGTACCCTTTCGGCAAACTGCGCGATCGCACTTGTTAGAAAATTCGCACCAAAACTAAAATTCTACAATAGTAGAGCGCGCGAGCACTCGCGTGACATTTTTGTCGGAAGTTTACCTATCGTTTATATTAAGTATAAATATTGTTATTACGAATTTTTTTGTTTGATAATATTATTTTTAACCGAAATAACTATATTTCGCACAATGATGGCACATATTTTGAGATGGTTGGAAGAAGTTATTACTGATGAAGCAACCAGCAAAGTATGGGATACATATTATTTTAGTAACCGATACAAAGGTATCTTAAGCCTACCATATGGAAATATACGCAGGTGCTCAGCCAGATGGTCCTTATGCACAATCAAATAAAGTTGTGGACATTGTGCAACGAATGCTTACCCCATTGGATGGTTTAGGTTATAACATCACAATGCACAATTGATTCACGAATATACCTCAATGCTTAGAACTCTTAGGTAGCAAAATTACTGTCGTAGGCACTGTGAAGAAAAATAAGGCACAAGTTCCCAAAGAATTCAAAATCACAAGAAACAGAAGCGAAACGAGTTCAATTTTTGGCTTTCAAAAACAAGGTACTTTAGTATTTTACATGCCAAAATCAAAGAAAGTGGTGCTTATTTACTCACCTATGCACTATGATGATCATATCGATTTACAAACAGCAGAGAAACGATCTATTATATGATATTTTATATATAACTTTCACTTACTTTTATTTGTATGTATTGTTGTATTTTTTTTATTATTTTGTATGCCCCCCCTCTATTTGTAACTTTTGTTTGCATCATTACTCTACGCAAAGGTTGTCTGGAAGAAATCACTTTCAGTGATAAGACCGCCTATTGTACATACTTTAATTACTTTTAACTATATTGATGTTTCTGTATTGTGGTGTACAAAAAAGGATAAATAAATAAAATAAATAAATAGAAACGTAAGCCGGAAATAATAACTTTTTACAACAATACCAAATACGGCGTGGACATTATTTGTAGTATTTATGACGTCTCACTTACCATTTTATTCAATTTAATGAATATAAGTGCTATAAACGGTTATATTGTACATACAATAAACAACTACAGAAATAAGGCCAGGAAGGAATTTTTTATATGAACTTGGTTTTCACCTAGTCGCGCCATGCATACAACGCAGAATAAATATTGAAAGTATTCCAAAATCATTGAAAATGAAAGGGAAAATGCTTTTGGGCATGAAAGAGCCATCGGAATTACAACCATGCCCAGCACAACTCCCCAATACTGGTCGAGTCGGGAAATGTTCCTTTTGTGACAAAGCGTGCAATAAGTCCACTAGAAAATAATGTGACACCTGTAAATAGTGGATTCGTCCTCAACATCAAGTTCTTCAATGCCTTGACTCTTGTAAAAATGATAAAGACCGTGTGGAAGATATGAGCGAGTAAAAAAAGGAGACTGAGAAGGTTTGATGCCAAAAAATCATTGATTTTTCTCAAAATTCACAAGAAGTCTGATATTAAGTGCCTAATAAATGGTAACAGTTATGTTTCGTCTATTTTAGTTTCTTATTAAAGTTTGTTTTTATATGATATTGAAGTATTTTTATATTTGTTTATTGTTCCTGTAAAATCTTTACACAAAATAGTTCTACATATGTAGAGCGCGCGAGCACTCGCGTCCCAAACAGGGGCGCGTAATGGAGTGTTATAGCAATCTTTAACTTATCACACGGCAAACTTACTGGTATGGTAATAGAATATAGTTACAGTAATTACTAATTATTAATGTATGACCACCAGAGAATTTACTGGACAGATACAACTTCACCATTCAAGAAAAGAACCTACTCTTTTTTTTAAATGCCCCTGGGTGTTTTGGTTCTTTATGGGCAGTGGTAGTCACTTACCATCAGGTGAGCTGCATGATCGTTGCCACCCTCTCCTCTCCTTTAAAAAATTAATTAAATACCTCTTATACGATTATCATGTGAACTTGTGGCAGAATCTTGTGAAGAAAGCACATTCAGTATATGTGGTGTGGGTTCCATTTCTAATCCTTCAGCATGTAAACCTGTAATAGTAGTGAAAGTATATGAGTAACACAAAACTTTCTTTATTGGGCTTGTTTTATTCACAGCTACATACCATATATATAATGATAACAATAATAATGTCCTCCAGACCAAATTTTATAGTGCCCAAGTGTATGCGCAAGCACTGGTCATTATTATTATTTCCAATTTCTTAACTCTAACTTAAAAATTTAAAGCTGCTGAGAATTTCTTGATAGAAATACCCAAAAACAGATTTTAGGTCCGACCTGGGATTTGAACCTGGGATCTCATGAACAAATTGCATTTATGCCACTAGAGCTAGACCAACAAGGCAGTCAAGTGTTATTATAGTATTAAGGAATAAATTAATGTATTTTCATTATTATCATTAAAACTTTAAAATGAAAAAACTGGCCAAGTGCATAGCAGGCCATGCCTTAGACCATTTAACCCAATGGACTCGCTTTGCATGATTATTCCACTCTGCCAAGGTATTGGATTTACAAATCTTGTGCATTTATAAAAACTGTTAACAGAATCAATTTTATCGTTATAAGAATCGTTTCCACCGAAGGTGGTGCCCTTTGAAAAATGCCGATATGTGTGATAGCATAAAGCAGTCAAAAACTTAAAATTTGCAAAAAGATGAAGTTACACTCCACATGTATTTTATTGTGATATTTGCTTTTTTTCTATTGAAACTGTTTAAAGTAATGTCATAAGTAATAATCGAAAACTATACCGATTAAGTAATCTACTACTACTGCCCTGATTTATCCTGAGGGTCGCCCGCATAAACCAAGAGTATTACGAATGAAACTGTATCAGGCTTTTTGATTGTGTGAATACTTTGAATGAGGCAACAATAACTACCAACTAAAATCAGAAAAAAAAATAAGCGAAAATAGTAAGATTTCTTCATAAAATGTTTATTTCTTACAATTCAAAATAACAATAAAAAGTTATTATGCAGCTAGTTTTATGTTATTTTCTATGGAGAAGTAACGAAATTTTTACTGGGAAACTGAAACAGGAGATGGGCAATAACCCGCCTGCCAAGCGTGGCAGCTATGGCAAATAGTACCTATGAGGCAATCTATGGAGGCCTATGCATAACAGTGGACTTTTGGTGACTACAGCTGATGCCTTGAACCTTCAATGTCTTAGATATTAGCTGTTTACAAGTGAATAAAAAATGGCGAATATAAAAAAAGTAGGTACTTACCAAATTGGTCACATTTAAAAACACATTGCTTTCGAGACATTTTTGAACACATTAAAAAACACTGGGTCGGATATATTAATTATTATACAAGAAAGCATATAAACAAACGAGAAATCAGAATAATTTGAAAATAATATTAAAATCAAATTAACATCAACCAGCAGTGATGACCGCCATTAACTGCGTAGTGGCGTGGCGTGGTCAGTGTTGCCAACATTAAAATCTAGCTCCCGTTGTGGAGAACAACACTATAATCCCGTCAAATCCCGTCAATTACGGTATATAAGTGTCTATAGGTGCGTTTGGCAGAAAAAAGCGCTAGCAAGCGCTTACAAGCGCTAAAATAGTTTTCGGCCAGGACACGATTGCTACTTCAGTAGCGCTGACACAATCCGCCATTTTGCTTATTTAATTTGTTTGTTTTGAAGTAGAGTTTATAAGTTGTTTTGTGCAATATTAGTTTTAAGTAATATAATGACATGAATAAACATATACATGTTATTAAAAATTCATGATTGGTAAGTTTTTAATATGAATACTTTACAAACATATATTTAAATTAAGTTAGATTCCCCGGTTAAAATTAACATCGTGTCCTGGAGGAAAATAGCTACTTACGATTTGACAGCGCTTACCGCTTACGATCGCCATTTTGCTTACAAGCGCTTGCTAGCGCTTTTTTCTGCCAAACGCACCCATTCATTCATTGTATTGCACATTTCTTCGTATTTTTAAATTAAAAAAATCATAATTTAACATCATGTCAGAATTAAATTTACGCCAGTTCCAAATTATTTTTATTTAGAAAACAAATCTAAAAAAACATAAATTTTTGTTGTCCCGTTAAAAAATCCGTTAGCCGCTGTCCTGTAAATTAACGGGCCCTAGTTGGCAACACTGGGCGTGGTGCGTATGTATGCTCTAACTCTAAGGTCTTCTTAGAGCATACTTACATGAGGGACTGTGTGGCAGAGCGTATGGTGCTCTAAGGTTTAGGTAGTCTGTCTCTCTCGCACATGTTGTGTTGGCTGGGTGTTTTCCACCGTTGATGGGAGCGCATGCAATGAAACAGCAAGTCTGTGCGAGAGACGCTACCTAAACTCAGTCTCTCTCTCTTACGGCACTTTCACACAGTGCTCTGGTGCGTCTAGTTTAGTCTAGTGCTTCGGAATGTAGACGGCAGCATAAAAAAATATTATTTGTTCTCAAAACAATGTTCTAAGTTGCATGGTTGGTGTGAGGTAGTGCTTACTTGTATTTTTTTATAGAGGTCGGTTGTCAAAATGAGTGTCAGTTGGACGAATGAGCAGGAACTCTTGTTGATCGAGTGTTATCATGCCGAACCCATTTTATGGGATGCTAATCACAAAGATTATAAAAATAAAATGAAAGTATATGACGCATGGATACGAATAAAGGAAATAATGAGCATTATTTTATTTTATTTTATAGGATAGGGTGACCAACGAGCACACAGTCCACCTGATGGTATGTGGATGCTGTGGCCCATAGACATCTAAATCTATCCTCGATTACGAATCAAAATGCAGATGCATTGTCACCCGTGAGGACTAGGATGAAATGCCTCGTTTCCAGTAAAAAGGGTCTCCGGTTCTCTACACTCACAGCACTCAAACACAGCAGCATTAAGATTCGTGTTACAACTATTATAACTGTAGCATGCCTCTGCCACGAAAAGCGTTGAACTGATTGAAAAAAGAAAGTCCAATGTTCGGTTATGCAAATTATAAAAAAAGGTGAAGGATTCTGAAAGGAAGTCTGGAACAAGCAGCGACAAAATTTAATAATGGGCTAGCCATTTGGATTGCCTTTGACGTGATCGATGCATTTCTAGGAGAAAGCGATAATTGTAAAAAAAAACTACAAATACAATTTTTTTTTCTTTTATATACACGTAATTGTCGTGAACCAAAGCGCATAATTCACTTTATTTCGCTCCGAAGCTTCGCTTGTCTCGCCAAATTCAATACTGCCTCGATCATGGCATGCAGCGGGTTTAAATACACGTTTACATCGAAACATCCAGAATATTCCCGTAGATACGGGCGCCGACCCACCAGACGCAGAAAGTTCGAGTGTGGGCCTTCTAGAAAGCTTAGTTCTTCAATTCGATACTAGATGGAGCTGTTGGTGGAAATATTCGTCATGGCATTTTCTGGCAAGCTCTCCTCGCTCTGTTACCCGACACTAGATGGCGCTAGTGCCAGGTACCAGACGTCAACTTAGGCGCGTGACAATATAATTTCGGAACTCGTTCGAGATCGGTATATATAGGTATGCAAATTTTAAAAACTCCAGGTACAATTCAGTTGTTGGTTCGAGAGCCTTGGAGAGAATTGATTGCGCAGAAAGTAACCTATCTACATGAACTGCAGCTTGAAAATACAATTTTATAGCTGGTAATTGTTCCAGAAGGTTTGGATAGGGTGGAACAATTTGTGTGGTTTAATATTTGTGAATGCTTGAAATGTTTTGAAATCTCCAATACGTTTTGGAGAATTTTGTATATGATTACATACGTATCTACAGAAATCTTCCACTCCCCTTGGCAATTTCTCACATGCGTATGATGCGCAAAGGTTAAAAGATGAAAAATGCACTTCATAGTAAGAAGGTGAGGTATGTCATTTTTAAACAAAATAACCAATGAATGTTTATCTCCAAACATAACGTTAGCGCAATCAGAAGCAAAGCCTATCCTGTTTGATTTGTAAGGAATATTTTTTTCAACAAAATATCTATTTAGCCACACAAAGCTGTTGCTTTACCATCTACGATTGGTATTAAAGTCAGAAATCTATCTTCAACGCTGAAATCTAATTTTACTATTCTTACGACAGGCGCTAAATGTTTTATCGTAGACTTATCTGTGCTTTCGTCAACAAGTAATGCAAAGCAATTGTTCTGTAACATCTCTATTAAATTTTCTTCTGCTGTCTGCCCAGTTACATTAACAATAATAGCTCTAGCTTTTGTGCGGCTCATTGATAATTGTACCGCAATTTTCGAATCTGGACATACAGCGCAAATCAATTTATTCAAATGAGATGCTATGAAAGACAGATTATGCTCAGCAATAAAGCAGGCCATTTTTACTTCACCCGCTTTAGCTATAATTTTCGTATCTTGTGAGTTGGAAGCTGAGGTAAACATTGATGTCAGTTTTTGTTGTTTTTGTAATTTCAAACTATTCTTCGCGTGTTTTGTTGAATCTTTGTGTCGTAACAGTTCGTGTATACCATATTTTCTGTCGCAATTACACGCAGAACAAAAGAAATAAGTCTCACCTTTAGTGCTTTTCTTTAACCAGCCTTTGAACCTATCATCTTTTAACCACAAATTTACGAATTTCTGTTCATATTTCACATTTTTCTTCTTAGGAGGACTTTTCACAGTCGATGAATCACTACTCATTTTATTAAAAACGTTGAAAATATTGTTTTTTTTTTTTAAATAGACGCCGCAATTCAAAGAAACTGTTCAAGGTGTTGTGACTATAAAACAGTTCTAGGCTGCACTAAAAGTATCGGGAATGGAATATTTCCACTGTTCCTGTCATATTAAAATCTTTTTAATTGAAAACTCCTTGGTTTTAAAAATCGAATACCATTTATTTATTTAAAAAAAAGATTCTCGGTCTTGTCACAAGGTTTTGTCAAACTTGTTTAGTCGTTGAGAAAATGGAATTGACTCGAGAAAATTCAAGAGCGATGATTTATTATTACTTTCGAAGTGGTCTAATACAAAAACAGTGTGTTGACCGGATGATTTCTGCATTTGTGTTTAAAGAAATTTTATTTTCAAAAAAGACAAACAATGCCACTTACATGAAAATAATAATTACATTTTAGTGTACTTATTCTAATGGTAGTAGTAACTTCATAGCCTCAATTTAATGGTAAAAAATGTTCAATTACGTATTGTGATAGCTGAGACTTAAAACTACTAAATGAGCTTACATTTTTTATATTACAAGGCAATTTATTATAAATCTGTGCTCCTTCAAAGGTAATGCTTTTTTTTTGCGTAGTTTGGTAGTACAGGTAAGCTAGGTCGTCGAAGACTGCGTTTACAAATTTGTGATTTTTTTTACAAAAGACAAGTTAGTATGGATGGTTTTATCTAGTATTTTGCTAATTATAATCATCATCATCATTACAGCCCTTTACAAGTCCACTGCTGAACATAGGCCTCCCCCAAGGTATGCAACAAAGCACGGTCCTGAGCGACCTGCATCAATCGACTTCCTGCATGTCTAACCAGGTCGTCACTCCATCTAGTGGGGGGTCGTCCTACACTTCGTCTACCGGTACGAGGCTGCCACTTTAGAACCTTTTTTCCCCAACGGTTGTCGGTTCTTCGAGCTATATGGCCGGCACATTGCCACTTCAGCTTACTAACTCGTTGGGCTATGTCGGTCACTTTGGTTCTACTGCGGATATCCTCATTTTTAAGTTTATCACGCAAAGAAAGCTCCGAGCATAGCCCTCTCTATAGCTCGCTGAGCGACTTTGAGCGTCCTCATACGGCCAGCAGCGAAGGACCACGTCTCAGTTCCGTATGTCATCACTGGCAACACGCACTGGTTTAACAACTTAGTTTTCAGGTTTTGAGGTATACCTGACGAGAAGATGTGTCGTAATTTCCCGAACGCTGCCCAGCCGAGTTGAATCCGTCGATTGACCTCTCGGTTGAAGTAGGACTTACCTAGCCAGGCTATTTGTCCCAGGTAAACGTACTCGTCAACAACTTCGAGCTTAGTGCTCCCAACAACTACCGGAATAGGTGTGACATGGACATTATACATGATCTTTGTTTTGTCCATGTTCATCTTAAAACCTATCCGTTGGGAGGCACAATTGAGGTCATTGAGCATAGTACTTAAGTCCTCTAGCGATTCTGCTATAAGGACTATATCGTCGGCAAATCGAAGCTGAGTGAAGTACTCGCCATTGATGTTAATACCGTATCCTTTCTAGTCCAGTAGCTTGAAAACGTCTTCCAATGCAGTGGTAAAGAGTTTCGGGGAAATAACGTCACCCTGTCTTACACCTCTCTGCAGTTGGATAGGTTTCATACTCTGGTTCTGTACTCGGATAGCCATCGTAGCCCTACTGTACAAACACTTCAGAACTTCGATATACCGACAGTCAACTTGGCACCGCTGAAAAGACTGTAGCACCGCCCAAATTTCGACGGAAACAAAGGCTTACTCATAGTCCACATACGCCAGGCAAAGTGGCAGATTGTACTCTTCGGACTACCTACGGAAGGTCTACCTACCTACCTATAATGCTGGGCTTCGCATAATGAACGACTAGAGACCTTCTTATACTTATTTTAAAACAATATGTTTTCTAAGTATTCTTAAAATACAAATTTGTGTAGTACAAGCATTTTTATTACTTAATTTTGAGATGAATATTAGGAACAATGATACATGAATAGTACAAATAAATATATTATATTGTGAACATGTCTCAGATGCGCCATCTTGTTGTTTATTTGTGTACGACAATGTTCTAATACGGGCTCCAGACTCCTGTGTGATTCACGCACTGTTACCAACCCTACTGTTTTAACAGTAGATTTGCTGTTTTCACATTGATTTCAATGTTTTCTGTTTCATTTCTATTTTCTACTGTTTTTTTCTTTCAACTAGCGTTCAGCGCAACCTATTACACTGCTATGCAAACATTTTTGATAACCACTACGTAATAAAACGCAATGACACTAGATGGCGGTATCTTATATGTGTTTGACAATGATATTTTTATGCACGGGAAAATCCCAATTTATGAATTACAGCTACACGCCTATTGTATTGCGTACGAGGGCGGCACTGAAAATTTCGGGAATCAAGGAAGTGACACAACATTACTATTTAAAATGTATTTATTGCTTTTCGAAGTGTTCTTCGCGAAATTTGACACATTTTTCCATACGATGGAACCAATCATTGAAGCAACCATTCCATTCGGAGGTTGGGGTGTCCAAAATGGCCGTTTTGTAGGCGTCCATAGCTTCTTCAGGTGATAAAAATCTCTGTCCACGCAATTTATTCTTTATTTTAGGGAAAGTATAGAAATCATTAGGGCTTAGGTCGGGGCTGTACGACGGATGGTCTAATAATTCTATGTTTTCTTGCTCTAAAAACTCTTTTATTCTGTGTGCGGTGTGAGAACTCGCATTGTCGTGATGGAGGTTGATGCGGCGGTTGCATTTCTCTTTACGGAGTTCAGAAACGACCTGTGGTAAACAAATGCTAGCATACCATTCTGCATTAACCGTTCTTTGTCGCTCAAGAGGAATAGTCGTAACATGGCCGGTTTAGGAGACAAACGTGGCCACCATTTTTTTTTGCAACACTCCGTGAACGAACAATTTTTGTTGGCTTTAACTCATTTTCGAATACCCAAACTCGTGACTGGTTTTTTGTTTCGGGTTCGTATGCGTATATCCAGGAGTCGTCACCTGATACAATGTTGTATACAGCATTTGAGGATCCTGCGTGTAATCTTTCGAGAGTTCTGACGCACCAAGTAACGCGAGCCGCATTTTGCTCTTCACAGAGCGAATGCGGTATCCATCGGGAAAACAACTTTTTTACACCTAATTGTTCATGCAAGATTATTTGTATTTGACCCATGCCAATGTCTAAAGTTGTCTGAATTCCGCGGTATGTCACATGTCGATCTTCCTCAATCAGCTTACGCACAGCGTCAACGTTTTCTTGGGTGACTGCAGTTTTTGGACGACCTTGACGGGGATCAACACTGAGCTTGACATGTCCACGTTGAAATTCAGCAAACCAGCGATAAATTGTGGTTTTGGATGGGGCTTCATCACCAAATTGTCGATTTTTGTTGGGATTGTCGTCGAACTACTGTACTGAGTAGACGTGTGTTAATTCTGGCAAAAAACATCTAAATAGTGCTCCTCAAATCTATTTCTTATATTCAAACGTAATGGACCTTCAATTCTGTGAAAGGTGAAGATAAATACTGTATCAAAGCATCGATAAAATAAAACAAAGTTGTGCTTCTCCAAAACTTATTGTATATTCCAAGGTAATTAATAACACAGTCGAGATTTGTGAGATTTTTTAACGAATATTTTTCAACTATTGGACCACAATTAGCAGATAAAATACCTAAGATATATCACAGTAGCTCCACTTATCCTTTCTTTAAAACACAAACAGCTAATAGTAATGAACTTTCTACACTAGCCCCATGTACTCTAGTGAAATTCGTAAAATTATACAAAGCCTCGATTCGAATTCCAGTAGCGGCATAGACAGAATTAGCACAAAAGTAATAAAGTGCCTACAAAATTTGATAGCACATGACTTAGCTCAATGTTTCAATAAACTTATAATCAATGGAGAGTTTCCAGATACTATGAAGATTGCAAAGATAACACCAATCTATAAATCGGGACTTAAAACCAACCCAGGAAACTATCGTCCGATATCGGTATTGCCGGTCATGTCAAAAATTTCAGAAAAAGTCATACATAAACGTTTGGAAAATTACTTAAATTCTTTTAATTTTATATCAGAACGGAAATATGGATTTCGAACCAAAAGTAGCACCACTACCGCAACAATCGATCTAACAACGAAAATAAAAGATTTATAGATTGGTGTTATCTTTGCAATCTTCATAGTATCTGGAAACTATCCATCGATCATAAGTTTATTGAAACATTGAGCTAAGTCATGTGCTATCAAATTTTGTAGGCACTTTATTACTTTTGTGCTAATGCTGTCTATGCCACTACTGGAATTCGAATCGAGGCTTTGTATAATTTTACGAATTTCACTAGAGTACATGGGGCTAGTGTAGAAAGTTCATTACTATTAGCTGTTTGTGTTTTAGAGAAAGGATAAGTGTAGCTACTGTGATATTTCTTAGGTATTTTATCTGCTAATTGTGGTCCAATAGTTGAAAAATATTCGTTAAAAAATCTCACAAATCTCGACTGTGTTATTAATTACCTTGGAATATACAATACGTTTTGGAGAAGCACAACTTTGTTTTATTTTATCGATGCTTTGATACAGTATTTATCTTCACCTTTCACAGAATTTAAGGTCCATTACGTTTGAATATAAGAAATAGATTTGAGGAGCACTATTTAGATGTTTTTCGCCCGAATTAACACACGTCTACTCAGTACAGTAGTTCGACGACAATCCCAACAAAAATCGACAATTTGGTGATGAAGCCCCATCCAAAACCACAATTTATCGCTGGTTTGCTGAATTTCAACGTGGACGTGTCAAGCTCAGTGATGATCCCCGTCAAGGTCGTCCAAAAACTGCAGTCACCCAAGAAAACGTTGACGCTGTGCGTAAGCTGATTGAGGAAGATCGACATGTGACATACCGCGAAATTCAGACAACTTTA